GCTTTTCTTTTTGTTAAACCTAAAACAAACTGCAGCGAGCATGATAGAGACTTACGGTGTCTGTGCCCAGATAGGACTTTATTGTATATTATAATATTTCATTAGAATAATTTATTTTTCTTGGTAGGTTTATGCTTTTGAAGTGTCTAGACACTAGTATGGTGGACCTCGACTTACAAATTTAACTGTTCCGTGACCTAGCTCATAACTTGGTTTGCTCGTATATATCAAATAAATTTTCCTCGTTTAAATTAACTGAAATACCATTAATCCCGTTCCAGCTGAATTCCTGCTCTCGGAAAGCAGGACAGAATCTCAATATAATGCTAATAATCAACTCTACGGCTTACTTAACTATCACATTTGATCTAAAAATGACATAATAAACAATAAAAATAACAAACATGATACATACTACTCTAGAAAGAATAAAATATGCCATTTGTGATTAGTGGTGGCGGCCCTTGCCGCTCCCACACTGACCCCTAACTTTCCATGCTTCCCCTTCTGGAAATGGAGTGTTTTGTGAGGCTAACTGCACTAGATCACTAGTTCATAAGGAAAACACAAACAATGTATTTATAATTAAGAAATATTGTATAAAAACATAATAGAGAATGTTCCCCAAATAATAATAATACAGTGGACCCTCCTTTTTCGTCGATCTCCGTTATCGCGACTTCCGTTTTTGCCAAGTTTTTTCATCAAAATATTGGTTCCGTTTCATCAAATTCCTCAATTTTTTTTCGATGGATAGAACCTGTCCAGTGCCCAGCGCGCACAACCACCTCCCACACTCATTCTCAGGCAGTGTCGTGTAGTTTCTCGGTAAGTGAAAATATCCTGCGAGGTCAAACGAAACATTTTTGGCACTTGTTTATTGTTGTGACTGCTAAATAACATGGTCCCAAAGAAAGCTCCTATGCCAGTCCCCTTTTATAAAGAAAGTGAGGAACACCGTAGAAAAGAAAAAAAAAATCTTTTAAAAATATGATAGTGGCATACGCACTGCCGACCCGCAGGATGTACAGGAAGGGCCATCAACTATCAGCTCCATTGTAGTGAAGAGAAAAGAAATCATGGAAGCTGATGTTGTGAAAGGGGTGAATGCGTAACAAAAACGAGGTCCCAAACAATTGAAGATGTGGAGAAATTTGCGGGTTGGTGTGGATAAAAGGGAGAAACAGTTAGGGGGAGATAGTGTTGTGCAGTCAATAATTTGTGAAAAGGCAAGGCAGTTGCATGATGATCTCAAAGAAAATGCCTGCAACATGTGCTGAGTTGGTAAATTTTAAGGCCCAGCAAAGGTTGTTTCAAAAATTCAAGAAGCGAAGGGGTATACACAGTTTTGTAAGGCTGGTGAGGGTCCACTTCAGACAAACATACGGCTGAAAAATTCATGCGAGAATTCAGAGAGTATGTAGAGGCTGAAAAATTCCACCCCAACAAGTGTTCAATAGTGACGAGATAGGCCTGTTTTGGAAGAAAATCCCAAAAGAGGACCTACATCACGCAGGAGGAAAAGGCACACCCAGGACACAAGCCTATGAAAGACAGTCCTAACTCTCTTGTGTGTGGTAAATGCGAGTGGGGATTTCAAAGTGAAGCCCTTTTCGGTGTATCACTCTGAAAATCCCAGTGTGTTCAAGAAAAAACAGTGTCGTCAAGAGTAAATTGTGTGTGATGTGGAAGGCTAACAGTAGGGCATAGGTCACGAGGGAATTTTTTCCCGGGAAAGGTTCAATGAAGTGTTTGGCCTGAGTGTGAAGAAATACCCTCCTGGAAAAATAAATTGCCACTCCAGTGCCTCCTGTTAATGGACAATGCTCCCTCCTCCTCCGACTTGGAAGACCAATTGTCAAAGGAAATTTAGTTTTGTAACAGTGAAGTTCTTGCCTCCCAATACCACTCCTCTCATCCACCCATGGACCAGCAGAAACATTGCAAACTTCAAAAACTGTACACCAAAGCAATGTTTCAAAGGTGCTCTGACAACCTCGGAATGTGAATTGACCCTGAGAGAGTTCTGGAGGGATCGCTTCAATATCTTCCAATGCTAAGCCTTTTAAAATAAGGCTTGGCAAAGGGGTGACTTCCAGGGCAATGAACTCTGCTTGGAAAATTTGTTGCCAGATTGTATCCCCAACAAAGATTTGGACCCTGACAACCCTAATGCCAGTTATGCAATCAATTGTAGCATTGGGGAATTCCATGGTGTTGGAAAGTGAGTGGCCAGATGTGGAAGAGTTGGGGGAGGACCACAATCAGAGCTAACCACTGATAAGCTGCAAGAGCTTCATCTGCAGCAGCAACAGACCACAGCTCAGGAAATTGCTTCAGAGGAGGAGGAAGAGAGATTGAAGAAGGTGCCTTCTTCAGAGATTAAGGAGATTTGAGCAATGTGGAGTAGGGTGCTTTATTTGTGGAGGAACATCACCCTGAGAAAGCTTTGCAACTGTGCTGGGATTTTACAATACAATGCCAGTCCCCTTTTAGCAAAACTTAAAGAGA